GGGGGGGGGGAATTTCTTCCTAAATTTTTAAAGCCTAGGCTTTTTTGCCCTGCATCGCCGTTATTCACACCTGCTAACATATGCCTATTTCTATAGTCATTGGCTCTAAATTCGGATTTTGAAATATTGCTGATGTAGCAATGTGTGGATGTGTAGTTTCTTTACTATACACGTGCTACATAGTTATCATTAAAGCAACAGTTGACCTGTTCTTTTGAAGGAGATTGATTGCTTCATTCCTGGAGCATCCTACGCGGCCCCTTACAGTTTTTTAACACTAGCACGACTACAAGAGCAAATTAATGGAGAGCAGTTTCCACGAACCCGAGGCTGGCTCTCGGGAAATAAATATTACGGACGAACTCATCTAGTAATAGCAAATATATCTGCTTTTCTGTGATGCTCTTTGCTAAGTTTCAGGCTTCAAAATTTAGAATCCATTGTGGGAACACGTGGCAGGAAAAAAGGAAACCTTGAAAAGGAAATTGAAATCTAAATCATTGTTAAATTGTGCAGCCGCTTCACATAGATATATAAGTAAAAGTTGCGAGGGTGGCATGAGTGAATTTTTTCCGTTTCTGTTCAATAATGTCATTGGGGCAATAAACAAGAGAGATGTGCCGTAAAATAGTCTTTGCGTATTCATGAAGTCAGATGATAAAAACATAAAAATGAGAAAGAAAGAAAATAGACATAAAATGAGATAGGAGGGGTTGAGATCACGGAGGAAAAACTAGTCAGTATGCGTCCCGGCGTTGGGAGCGGTTATATGGCGAAAGAGAGAGTAAACTGAGGAAATTTTCGTAAAGAGATAAATTGAACCACTCAATCAATCAATGAACCATCAACTCGGCCTGCTGTTGGTGATGCTGGTCTGTTGGTGGCTGGTTCACCTGATTATTACTGTCCCCTTTTTGCTCCGTGTCATCGCCCATCTCCACATCGTCGTCACCTTCGCCTTCGCCGCCCTCCTCATCATCCTCCTCATCCTCACTTCCACTGCTTTCAGCTTCTAGATCTTCGCTTCCAGCATCTGAATCATTATCGTTATCATCTCCATCGTCCTCTTTATTTGAGGCCCCGGGCTCGCCGGCGTCGCCCATCTCGTGGTCCTCACCAGGGGCACGTGCTGTTTGAATTTTCTCAGCCTCTTGAAGCTCCTTTAGCAGAGCTTCTTCGAGCTCAGCTTCCTCGGCTCCGTACTCCTTTCCGTCATCGTCTAAGACATCTGCTTCTGGTTGGTCTGGCGGGTATTCCGCAGGGGCCGAATCTTCTGAGTCCCTATCGTAAAATTAAAAAAAGAACGTATTAGCAGACATTTATTGCACCTGGTAAAGGGCAAGGAAAACAAGAAGGTCAAGACAAACCATTTAATGGCAAACCGCGTAACTCTTGGTTTCTCAGCCAGGACATTCCGTCGAATTTTCTCAATAATGGGTTTGGCGGGTGGCTCAGCGTTCAGCTCCTCGGAGTCATATTCATTGTTCACGTAGTATCCGACACGGACAAATTCCCGGCCGTCATAGCTGCAGGTAAGCAGGATCACCGTCACGCCCAATATTTCAGACGTGGGGATTCTCTTAAGGTCAGGTGGGTCTGCTTCAAAAATAAATTTATTGACGCCAACGGGTATTGGCCCGACTAGTAGGGAATCTAGTTCTTGGTCATGTTCAGATCTAACGGGACAGTCAATTCAGTATTATGCGATTGTTGGTTCCTCTTCAAACTGCGTAATATATATAGCTCAAGGTAGACTTACGAAGTTGCGGAGCCGACATAAGTAAGCTTCCATTCAAGATCTAGGGAGGGGCAATTCTGTCAGCAACAATTGTACATGTCTTATTTTTTCTTCTTTGATTTAGCTCGCTCCTTCCTTGCGCATAAGTTGGAAGTAATTCAGGATGATTAATTACCTTTTTGCAGCTGTTCGAGACATTCGAATGTAATTTCAAATTCATAAGGGGCGAGGAATGGTGCGGGGTTGTTGACAACCCGCACATCAAGGAGCGAAACTACGGACATTATGAAACACTCTCAAGACCGAAAAATAGGAAGATCGAGACCGAGTTTGTAGTTGTATGTTGTAGAGTGAAGTGGGAAGCGTAAAAGGCTGGGGCTATGGGGAGGGAGGTTCTTATACGCGAGCAAGTCAGTCGGGATCGGTGGTGATAGATTGGCTTGCTGCTGACGCGCTGTGCCTGGCAGCGCTCGGTCGCGTTTGGCGGCGTTTTAGAGTCATATATCACGTGGTATTCGGTTCCGTTTTGGGAAATTGGGCTCAAACCTTCACAATCATGGCATCCGACATAACCTCCGAAGTAGCCCAACACAGACTTGTCAAACTCCTTTTCTCGACGTGGTTTTTTGCTACGTCTGTTGACGACTCCGGTTCTATTGGCTTTCTACTGGATACGAGCTGGGCCTTTGGGATTTTGTGGTCCACG